GGTTGCTAGCGGCTGAGTCCGCTCCCTGCCCCGAGGAGCTTGCAGCCTCAGGTTAGCAGGGGAAGGGCAGACGCGGCAACCAGCCGTGCAGAGGGGCGCTTCCCATTTTCTGTTGGTTGCCACAGCAGTGCTATCGAAAGCGGGAGGCGGTGATAAGGACCGTAAATATTTGGCCAGTGTACATAATGATGGAGCAGGGAAGGAATGCCTCGCCTACGCAAACAGGCCAGGAGCCGGGGCTCCATCGCTAGGGGAAGGTTAGCCGGCCGAGGCCGGGCCGCGTTGGCCCAGCTCGCCCTGAGGAGGGAGGCGCTCCTGGTCACCAGCTTTGGATCCTCCTAACCACACGCCTGACTAACGCTCTGCCCTTGCGGTGCGGGGTGAGCACAGGACCCGAAGCGCAAAACCGTGCTCCCGTTCCTGTGGGTCCTCTGGTAGCCAAGGCCAGTTGCTCTGAGCCTCCCTGACGGGGCTGTCGCGAGCCTGGCCTGGAGCAGAAGCCTTGAGCTTCCGGGACCAGGACCGGGATGGGCCGTCTGCTGTGTGCAGCAGGGACTCCTGTGGGAAAAAGGAAAATGTGCCACGGCACCTTGATCTGCTGGAGACTGACCTCTTAAGAGAGAGGGAGACTCTGAGGCTTTGTTCAGACGTGTCAAGCCGTTATTTTCTTCCCCCTAATTTATTCAATTAACTACAATGGGCTGGCTTCACAGAACACGTAAAGAACAAGGGAAGCATATGATGGCTTGGCATTGTGTGACCTCGTTCTTACACACTGGGCCTGGTCATCTGCTACTTTTATGCTAAAGTAAAGAGACGAAGCATACGGCCCTCTGGCTGCACACCCCACAATGACTATTTGACTTTGGCTGCTGACTTGAACGGATTATCCTGGGAACGGCTCTGCTCCTGAAGCAGCTGCTGCCTCCACTTAACTGGAAGCCACTAGGAATCGCTCACTCTATTTTTAATTTTCTTGAAACTTTCTACAGCCTGGCTGGGCACCTTAGTTGTTATGCTATTTAAATATCATTATGAGGCTGACAACTCTGAGCTAATGCATGTTAATTTAATCAGATAAAAGTGGGGTTTTTTTTTAATTAAACCATTAATGTAGAGCCTAGAGATTGAACTGGGGCTGGGGGGAGTCATTGCTTCCAACGGAAGTATCTGCAGATCTAGAGGACACTGAAGGGCAGGGAGAGCATCTTTGTTCAGGCTTTTACCGAAGAGTGAAGAGGATACGTGAGGCTGAGTGACCAGAATCTGCATTGCCGGACCACAGATGAGGCCAAGCCCAGCTAAAAGTCCCCTTCCCTTCCACAGAGTCCAGTTTAGCCCTGCCCCCCCCTTCTCTGCTGTCCTGCATGGCCCAGCTCCAGGCCTCTCCAGATGGATTCGATCTCTTGCCAAACTCACAGCCTCTTCTGCCGTTCTGGCAGGTTCATCTCTCCTCCCCCACCTTCTGAGGGGACAAGCATGAAACCCTCTTTTCTCTTTCAGCCCCCAGGAAAAGAGGGAACAACTGCCTCCCCTGGGCTCCTCCTGGCCGGGCCTCAGAGGCAGAAATGGACTCCCCAGTCCAGCCAGTGGGGAGTTCTGAAGCCTGTAGGATAAATGGAAGCCGGGGTCCGAGTCCAAAGCTCTTCAGCAATGAAGCAAGAAAGGGGCTGCATCCAGGCTGGTGTGCGTGTGATCTAGCTTGGAAGGGTTTGTGTGAAGCTTCCAGACCAGCAGAATGCACCACACTTTGGGCTGAAAAAAAAATCCCCTTACCAGATTTGTTGTGATCCCAACTTACTGGCCCAGACACACACGTGGCACTTGCTGCTTGTCTTAATTGTCAAAAAGAGCCTAAGCATTATGTTTTTCCAGATGTTGATAATAACAAGAGAGCATTGCTTCTCCCTCCAGTGCAATAGTTAAAGGCAGAGCCTACACAGTCCTCAAAAGATGTTTTCCCTCTCCTCCATTTTGGGCACACTTTTAGAAAACATAATGCACTAACAGATCATTTCTATTATTATTATTATTGCAATTCTCAGTTTTCTGCTTATCTAAGACTCCAGGTGGCTTACAACATAAAAATACAAAATAGGCTGGTAACATCAAAGCATCTAAAGACATTCTCTGCACATGAAGCTGGCTGATCTAGCTCTCTTCATCCTGGAAACCCTTAGTGGCTGGAAATGATGCAGTTGACAATGGGGGGGGGGGGTTCCCAAGATTTCCCAGTGGGGAAGCTGAACTAATCCATCACAAGCTGCAGAGGCAAAGAACGATGGGGGAGAGGATGAATCCTCCATGGACCACCTGATTTTTGCATTTCAAGGGGATCTGATCCCTTGGAGACCGATCTATAGCAACTCCTGGAGGAGGCTGTTAAAGGGGAAGGTTGAACGTCCCTCCTCCTCATCTGACTCGGTCAACTTCACTTGCTTATGAGTTGCCTGTTTCTTTAACAGTGTGATTATGCCCAATTTCCCATCTCCCCCACTAATCAGCAGGAGGATTTTGTTTATTAATGTCCTCCTCTTTGTCCAATAGAATGTCTTAACGAGAGCAGCAGAAGACTGCTGGTTTGGTCTTTGTAGGAAAGACTTTTAATGGAACCTTGTTTAGGTATGTGATATTAAGAGTTTGGTTCTGGGATCTTGAAAATCAATCACTGGGTTTTTTTGAAGTTTGTATTGAAAAGGGCACGTGTATAATTTTCCAATATCCTGGTTACGTAAGTAGAACAAGCGTGTAGTGGACAAGCTGGGGGCTTTAAAGAGCTGCATTAACCCTTCCGCTCTTGAGCTTAAAAAATTCTCCTAACTGGCAGGGTGCAGTGCAGGCTGCTGAGCGTGTTTGTGTGTACACACAGAGACACATTGCTGTTGCCGTTAACAGAAGTTGCCCTTTCCTAGCAACAAAATGTTATTACTGGAATAGCAAGAGAATGGAATCTCTCGGTAATGAGTGGCCTGGGGGCAGAGCCCTGAACAAATTGTTTTTTTCTGTGGGGAAGCAACTCTATGTCTATGTGGCTCTTCTCCCTGTTGTTGCTAATAGCAGCCAGCCTGGAGCTGTGTTTCTGAAGGGTTAGTCCTTTTTCCTGCAGGTGTAGAAAATGTGGTTTAAAGTGAACTTTTCCTGGAACGTGTTTTAAGGGATTAATGGGCTGGGAGTAGATTGCTTCTCCTTCCTTCTTCCTTCCCTGGGGCCTTGCCTTTGAAAATCAGCTGTTGGCCTCCCTTTGAAAAAACAGCACTCCTGATTATTTGGGAAGGAAGGAGGGCAGGAAGGTAAGTCGCTGGGTCCTTGGCCCTTCCCTGCAGGCTTTGAGACCCTCCAGGCTCACAGGCGGAGGCTGAAATCTAATCCGATGAGCCCCACCTCGGAAGAAGGGTTCTCCCTCTCCTAGTATGAGCTAGAATACACCAGGGTTTAGCCCCAGAAGCTGTTTTACAAGGTAGAGGGCTGGTGCTTCAGAGCATGTGCAGAGTGCTTGCCTCATTCCTACCAATCCAGACTAATGTGTTTTATTAAAAGGCATCTGCTTTCATGAACTGGCGCCGTACTTCACAAAAGTTTCTTCCTTTTAATAAAATGTGATAGTCTCCAAAGGTGCTACCTTTAACGCAGCTCACTGTTCCTACTAAGTCCAAATACAATCTGCTGAGTTTTGGTTTAGTGTCAAGTGTGAATCCCGCCACGGGGAACAAGAAACCATGTGCGAATCCAGCCAGTTGTCTCATATTCCGTAAAAGAGGGTCCAGTCAAAGGGGTGACTCCAGCCAGTCGCTGCAGCCAGACGCGAGCACCCCAAGTCAGAAGGTCAGAGTCCCCCCTCCCCCCTTGGATCTTGCTGTGTGATTCGGGGGTGGGGCAGCGTGGTTGATTTCACACCCCACCTCCCAGAATCGTTCTTGAGATGAAAACGGAATGCTTTCCAGTTGCCTCCCACCCCAAAATAGACTTACTCAGAGGCAAGCGCCACTGTGATGCTTACTCCTGAGTAAGTCCGGGTAGGATTGCGGACTAGGGAGCTTTCCCGGGTCCTCCCGGGGGCTATAGCCGGCGCCTGACGGCTGCTTTGTGAGCAGCTAGCAGAGGCACGCGCTGCCTCTGGACCTGGGGGCCCTGCTGCTAATCTGCGAGATTTCGCCCCATTTCTTTCGCCGTCCTCCCGCGGTTCGAGCCGCCCCGTCTATCGGGAGTTGCACAATTTCCGCACAAAGTTCGCTCTGCGTCCGCTCGGAAGGGCACCCCCTTCGCATCTTTCCGGGCCGAGCCCTGGGCGTTTCCTTGGAAGGAAGGCCGAGGAGCCGAACGCCGCCCTGCAGGAAGCGGGGCCTCCCCACCGCAGAGCGGGC